TAGGTGTTCAGAATGGTTTGATCCCTATCCAGCTGAATTCCTGAGAGGAGACGAAATCCAGGTCTCCTACTCCTCCGCCATCTTGCTCCGCCCCCCCAGAGAATTTTTTTTAATAGCCAATTTTAATCACATTTTCTAACTTATTATTGCTGGTATATGAGTAAACTAATGATTTTTATGTATGTATTTTAAAATATGCAGTATTTCTCGAATTTATTCTAATTTTTAGTTGATACTGTTTTTTCTAGGTAAAAAAATTTTATACCTTCTTTCCAATATTAATGCTTTCTGTTTTATATTCTTTTATTTCTTTGGCTCTAATTTCTAGACCAGTCCTAAGTAATAGTGTGAATAATATGGTATTTTCTATTTTTTAACCAAAATTCACCTGGTATTTTCTTCTTTTGAATTTTACAAAATTAAATGTCTTCTTTTTGTGTGCTATTTTATTGTTGCGAAATCTCTGACATGTAAGAAGCCTTCAGTTACCTTTCCCTTTGCATGATCAGCGAAGTCCTAGGGGGCTCCCTTTGGCTGAATCTGAGTTGAGTTCATTCACAGGCCCAGGACTCTTACAAGTTGTAAACTTGTGAAGTGAGCAAGGCATGGGAGTTCAGGGGCATTTTCTGTACATCTGTCCTCAAGTTGGCCACTTTGGCCTAATGGTTACCAGAAAAGCCCATACATTCTAATGGCTGAGCTAGAATAGGGAACCCTTACAAATATCATTCTGTAGCCTGAGAACCGACTACCCTGTAACTTGCAAAATGATATGATCCACTTGTAGTGTCTATTGTATTTTTCTGGCTTGTATCAATTGAGAGAAGAAATACTCTAAAATCACAGATCATTTTGTTATTTGGAATCTTTTAAAGTTGGGAGGTTGGTGATGAGGGGTATGATTGCTCCTAGACTTTAATCTGTCCCCTTAGGTGAAGAGAGGTTTCGAATAGACCACGGGGAGCTTCCCCCAGCAGACACTCATCCTTGCTTTTCCCTATCTGTGTTCTCTAAAAGGCATATCCCATTCCCATTAGATGACTCTATCTTGACCCAGACAAACACCCCAAAACTGTGTGGTCCCTTAGCTCACAGGGAAGCCAGCTTTTCTGATAATTTCATGAAATGTGCTGGCCTAAAATGTGCCTCTGACCTGAGAGAGGCCTACAAGTCCCATATTATTGCTTCAATAAAGTATTGAAGACTCTTTGGAGGACTCAGCTCCTCATTGGAAGACTCATTGCTTCACGTTAAAGTATCGAAGACTCAGATGGTACCTTCAAATCCAGTAGGGGTTACCCCATTAAGCTGGCCATCAGCTCCTTAGCACAAGTTCCAGATGGGCCAGGTGGTTCCCTAGCAGATTGTTGAGGGACAGGTGCAGGGAGGGTTTGATCTGGTGGGGCAGGGGGTGGCAGTGGTTTGGCAGACAGTCCATGCGGGGGTTCCATTACACACCCTACATACCGAGAGGAGGCTGGATATTGGAGAGGGAACAGAGGCCTGCCACAGACCCCTGGTGTAGGTGCCACTTTGCCTGTGGCATCCCTGTCCGGCCCTCTGGACACTTGCTGCTGCCTGTGTTGTCTCTCTTCTCCAGTCCCCTTCCTTGGTGGGTTTCCCCTTTTGCTCTCCATCCCTGCTCAGTGCTTTCTCTCTCCCACCCTCCTCTCTGCACCCTCTGTCATGTGTCCCTGCAGCTCCTGGCACCCGAGAAGGCACCCAGGAAGGCATCCCGGGCATGTCCTTTCTCACACCTGCCAGGCTGCCAGTCTCCCCGGAAAGCTTCTCTTCCTCCGTGCTTCATGCCTCTTCCTTGCTCCATCTGTTTCCACTTTGTGCATCTATACTTGGCGTTGTCTGCATTGCCAAAGAATTTAAGAGGGTTATCCAAAGCTTTTTGTACCCACAACTCTAAATAAATGGAATTGGATTGGGTCATTTTTTGTTCATGGATGGAGCCAGAAACTTAAAAAGCTTTATACTTGCTGAGTTTATTTTTATTCAAAATAATTTTATTTCAGTAAATAAATAATAGGAACATGAATTTTAAAATACTAGCCATATTGTAAATTACCACACTTTTCTATTTGAGGATGTTTGCAGCTATAATCAATATATAAGAGAGAAGGAGGGAGACCATGGGTGAAGATGTAAGGGCGGATTGTTTTTGTATGTCAGATCCCAAAATGGATAATAAACCATTCTTTGCATCATTGCTTAGGATCTTTTCTTAGCTCCTGCACTACTGATTGGTCTCTGTTTTTGTTGTGTGTTTTGTTGTGTGTCCACGTGCCTGTGTACATGATGGGCTGCGGCAACCCCAGGACGAGATCCTGACCGTTATCAGAAGAGTGGATGACAACTGGGCAGAAGGCATGCTGGGAGACAAGATTGGGATTTTCCCCTTGCTATATGTGGAGGTAAGATCACTCTCTCAGACACGCTTCCTCTCCCACCCTGCTGACTGTTTCACCAGGCGGGGCAGGGGACAGGGCTGGGCTCCTGGCCTGGGAGCCCCTTTTCAAAAGAGGGGAAGATGGGGACTGTGTTGGGTTTTTGTTCAGACTGCGGTGCTGTGAGAATTGCCTCACAGCTCCTCAAATCGTCTGTCCCAGGCCTGGCTGCAGACCGCCTTACTGTATGGACAGTGAAGGAGGGCTCAGATGCAGTCTTTCCCCACTTCTCACGGAAATCCCGTGCCGGCGCCCACTGCCCCCAGACTCTCCTGGGTACTGCTGCTCTTGTCTCCGCAATCCCAGAGGAGAAGGCAGCATTCCCCGTGTCCCTGCAAGCAGAGCTGAAGGATGCTGGCTCTAGTGGGCCATTTGTAGTCCTCCTAGGACTTTGGTAACCGGGCAGCCCATCCAACTGCAAGTCCCTAAAGCAAGGATGATTAGGGGTCTAGTCATTTCCTGTCTCCTTTCTGTAACGAAGAAGCACTCGGTTTCCAGTGAGTAAGTTATGGGCAGTGGCTGAGCTGGGAGCATCTTTGAATGTTTGACCTGTAAACCCCTGTTCGCTGTGGGCTGTTTGTGTGTGTGCAGGACTGTTTGCCCACTGTGTGTGCGTGTGCCATTTGTCAGTGCAAATCCCATGTGTACACCCATGAGCCAACACACCCTTCATCTATTAATCCCCGCATTTAGCCATACGAATCGTTTCAGCTAATGCGTACTGCATGCTCACTATATGCCAACACTTTCAAGTACTTGCTCATTTAATTTTCTCAACAACCCTGGCATAAGAAAGCCAGGAATGTCCCCACCTTAGAGATGAACAAATAGAGGCACGGAAAGGTCCCCTGGCTGATAAATGGCAGAGCCGGAACATAAACACAGGCTGTTTGCTGTAGACTTAGCCCTTCACTGCCCTGCCCTCCAGTACCCCCACTAGCAGACTGTACTTCACTCAGCCTGGTGCGGGGCTTCACGTGCTGGTAGGTGACACAGCCGGCTTTGCCACACCTTCTGCGTGGTGTGTGGTGCCACTAGGTGTCTGTTAAACACATCTGGTGATTCCTGTCACCGCAGGATAAAATCCAAATGCTGTGGTAAGACATTCACCACTCTTTGCAGTTTGACCCTCATCTGTTTTTCTAGTCTCATCTCTGGTCATTTCCTCTCCTTTCCCTAAATGCTCCAGGCCAGTGGTTCTCTCACAGTAATTCTGGATAAACTGCCCAGGAGATTCTGAGACCCTCTCACACAATAACTCTAAGTCCACACACATACAAACACACAGAGCTCACACAGAGTCACACACGCAAATCTGTATGGACTCATACACACACTGACACACACTCTCACACACAAAGCCCACACACACACCCACGCCCCTCCCCTGCGCCTTGTAGGAATCAACATTCCCCAAACAGCTTGTAAGCTTCCACTTGTGCATTTGGTCCAATTTCCAGGGGTGTGTTCTTCATCCTGCTGCTTAAGATCTAAGAACCTGGGTGCCTGGGTGGCTCAGTTGGTTGAGCGACTGCCTTTGGCTCAGGTCATGATCCTGGAGTCCCGGGATCGAGTCCCATGTTGGGCTCCCTGCTCAGCAGGTAGTCTGCCTCTCTCTCTGACCCTCCCCCCTCTCATTCTCTCTCTCAAATAAATAAATGAAATCTATCTCATTCTCTATCTCATTCTCTCTCTCAAATAAATAAATAAAATCTTAAAAAAAAAAAAAAAGATCGAAGAACCTGATGCATGAGTAACACTTACCATGCAGTCTAGAAGTGAAAAATCTGGCTTCCCAGACATTTATAGCCAGGGGAACTTTTTTTTCCCAGGCAGACATACGAGGATACTCAAACACATATGCAGAGATGCTTACAGAAACTTTCTTATGATGGCCCCAAACTAGAGACACTGCATCAGCAGTGGAATGGATAAATAAAGGACGGTATGTCCATACGATAGAATACTATCCAGCAGAGAAAATGAGCAAAAGACTGCCACATTTAAAAGTGTAGCTGAATCTCACAGACAAATCTTTTGAAAGAAGCCAGACACAAAAGAGTATGTACGATTTTTGCTTTTAGGAAGTTCAAAGGCAGGCAAAACTACTCCAGGGTGACAGAAAGCAGAGCACGGGGCCTCTGCAGGGAGATTGACGGGAAGCAGCAAGAGGGAGGCCTCTGGGAGGCGGAGGTGTTTGATATCTTAATCTCGGGAGTGCTTACACAGTTGTGTGCAGCTGTAAAATGGTGTGCATTAACGTTTGTGCACTTGAAAGTGCAGTTTAAGAAGCTAAGACGAAAGGAACACCAAGCCAGGTCACACGGGCACCCCTTGGGGACGGCCAGGTTAGACCCATCAGCTACCCGCCCTCCAGAAGGGCTTAGGCATCATCAGGGAGGCTGAGGGCTTGGGCTCAGTGCTGGGAAACCAATCAGCTGGGCTCTCTGAGGGCTCTCCTCAGTTCCACAGACACACTCAAAGGGCAAATGGGCCTGTCTGTGCCTTCCCGGGGCCTGAGTGCTCAGCCACTGGAGACATGCTTTCAAACACTTCTCCCTCGAGGACATCTAGGCAGGCTCCTTCCTCCTTCTGGCCCAGAAGCCCTCCATGCCCTATACCTCAGTGACAGTCCCACCTCTGCTCTGAACATGGCTTCCTTACCCCTTTGTGTGTTTCTTCAGAGAGGACGCCCTGAGGGCCCCGAGGCTCAGGGGTGCTCTGCTCTCCTCCCAGGGGCAATGGCAGAGCAGGGCCCAAAGCAGCCGTGGGCAGGGGCTTTGCTCCTCTGGATCCCACTCCATCCTGGGCAGGGCCGTGGCCTGTGTAGTGCTGGCCCCACACCACGGCCCTCGAAGGCCCGGCCGCAGCCACAGCGCCCCTGACCTGCTCTGAAACGGGCTCCTGGCTTCTCACTCAGCAACCACTGAAGACAAGCCCCAAACGGGTATTTCCTGGGACCATTTCACTGTTTCTCTATCAATTCCCTTTTGAGGTACTTGAGTGGCTCTGGCCCCCTTGTAGCCATAGGGGTAGATTCCGGGGGTTGCAGAGTTCAGGCTGTCTTCCCTCCAGGAGGCGGGGCAGGCCTTTGAGAGACCAGGGCTTGGAGCTCGGGTCTTCTGCGGAGTTTGAACCCGAGCTTCCTGTTGAGGCAGTTCCTGCTCTGTGCCTGACCCAGGAGGTTCTGTAAGAAGTGAACAAGCACTTTGTCTCCGCAGATTCTACAGTCCTCTCCTAAGCAGGGCTGTCTCTTCACCCCGGGCTTGCCGAGCAGGCCCGGTGGGACAGATGGTGTAAAGCCAGGCTGGAGCCAGCCTGGCCTGGAGCTACCGGTGGCCCATCTGCTGAGAAGGGGGCCCCGGTCTCCAGAAATATCTATACTCCTGGTGTCCTGCAGAAATAACCCTCTCATCCACGCTCCCTGTAGTGCCCGGGGGCCTGGCTGCCCCGGTACCCCTGTTGGCAACCTGGGCCGGCTGGTCTCAGGCACTGACTCTGCCGCAGGCTCCTTCACCCTCAAGTCCTCGCTGCTGCCTCCCGCGTGCCTTCCTTCACCTCCTTTGACCTCCCCACCTTTCCAGCTCCCCTCCCGGCTTCCCTGGCCGCTGGCCCTGGGTCTTCAACCTGCCTTCTTGTTCTTTTCTCACGGTTGGTTTCATGAACAATCAGCATGCAGCAGCCATCCCCACACTGGGCCCACAGCACGTGTTGCTGACCCCGCCTCTCTGTCTGGTGACTGCTGGGCAGGGTGGCCTCACTGGTGTCCACCTGGGACAGAGAGGAGCCGGCGTTGCTCCGGCCCCAGGGGAGTAAACCCAAACCCATGACGGTGACGTGGCCTGCCTTCTGTGTCCCCAAGGGGCAAGGGAGCCCTCCTCCTCCATGTGTGGGGGCTCAGTGCTGCCCACCATGGGGTAAATGTAAGGCACTCTGCCCTTCCCATGTCCTGGCATGCCTGGGTCTGGCTTTGGGATTCCACCCTGCGGCGAGAGTAGACCCAACCGGAAGTTCTGCCAAGCCAGACCCATCATCCTATTCCACGGGGCTCCAAGATGGCAGGCTTGGCATCTGCCCTTCGTATGGATCTCAGGTCATCCCCTAAGAGCAAGGCCTATTTCTCATGGGCCGTGGCAACCCCAGTGACAGAACCATGAATGGGCCTTGGGGCAGCTCAGAGCATCCTGGGTTTCAGAGGTAGACCCCCCTGGGCTCAACACCATGTACTAGATGTGTGACCTTTGGCACATTTCTTATCCTTTCTGAGCCTATTTCCTCTCTCATACAAGGACAATAACATGGACCTCACGGGGATAGTTGCGAGGCTTCAAGACAATAACAGAGTGCACAGACCAGGCATGAGGTAGGCTCACAAGGGCCATCTTTGTTGTTGCTCTGCTATTATAAAGGTTTGTTGAGTGAATAATTGCTTAGAGGTCCATTCACATGTTTACTGAAGAGATCTGTGTCATTCCTTGGCATTGACCATATTTGGCCTCATATTTCTGAGTGTTTTCTCACAAGTGCTCACTTTCACTCCCCAGCGGGGGTGGGAGCTCTTTGAAGGCAGGCATGCCCCTATTTCAGTGCAGGCATGACAGCCCCACCATGGTACCCTGAGCTGAGCCAGTTGTGCACTTGGGTAATGTCAACAAGACAAGCAATGCAGATATTCACATGCTACGTGATGGGAGAGGTAGCTCACTTGAAAGCTGTTCCTGAAGAGCGTTCATGGGAATCACCCTTAGTCTGGAGAGATCCAGACACAGGACGCAGGACTGTGCTCTGCCTCTTCTGCTCTGAGTCTCAGTGGGGGATTCGTGTGGAGACTCAGAAGGCACGTTAGGAAGTTGGCCTGTGAAGCATGTCTGCAAGGAAAACCTCTCCACAGGCCCAGAATTAAAATCCCAAAGACCATGATAGGCTGGAAACAGTTGAAAAGAATGATGAAATGCAATGAGCCTAAG